GTACAACGTACGACGTACAACGTACGACGTACAACGTACGACGTACAGATTAACATAAACCATGCTCAAAACGGCCTGATTCGGGTTCGCTGACCTCAGAAACGTCCAGAAAACATGTTTCTGAAGTTTTCAAAATTTTGACCGATTACAATACTTTTCACCTTACACTATGTGTGCGGAAAAGTAACAACCGCAAAGAATGAGTAATACAGTTCACACGTTCGGGTATCTTATATTTCATCTATATTACCACGTAACCCGATTTCACCTACAACAACTTAAAGATAATAAGGTTAGAAACTGTCAAATTTTACCTTTTTAGAATATCTATCTTCAAAATCAATCTCAGCGAGATAAAGATAAGGTTTTTGATATTGATTGGAATCTTTTTAGCAATATAGATGAAAGAATTGTGCAAACTACCTTATTTAATTTGCCAAAATTTTCGCATATTTATCTAACATTAACACCAAAAAATGACGGTAATCACTTCTCTACTTAGAATAAGTGATGTCTAATGTGACTTCTTTCAAAAATTGTTGCGTTTTGAATTAATTCAAATTGAATTATTTATGCACGTTTGCCATTCTATCTATATTTGGAAGAAAGAAAAACAGTAAAAATATCACGATCGCGAAAGCGATTGCTTTTTATTAAGTGTATTCACTATTCAACTAATAATTCTTAAAATTATCAACCATTTTCAATGGTTCAACATCGTTTCTTTTGATTCTTTTAACATTTTGGTACCTATATGCAAGTATCGCAAAAATAAACATACCGCAAAATACTAATCCGGACAAAAGAATGAAATCATATACACGCGAGTCAAAAAATTTCATTCCAAGTATGAATATCAGAATCATATTCGCGTAGAAAGATTGTAAATACCAAAAACAGTATGCAACTGATTTCATGCTCTCCGGCGCTTGACTGTATGAATAAGATAAACCGGTAACTGAGACCATGGCTTCAGCCAATGTAAAAACAGTATATTGTGGCATTTGCCATAATATGTTAACGGATTTTGTGGGCATGGAATCAATTCGGTGTTCAACATATGCAGCGAGCAAAAATGAGATTACCGCCATGGCGCCACCAAAAGTTAGTTTTTGTAGTGGTCGTCTTATGCCGATAATAGCCAATGCCGGATTGACAACAGTCTGATATAATGGAATAAATATGAGCACCATTAACGATTCGACCATTTGCATTTGATCCGGTTTCATGGTGTAAAATCCAAGGTCACCGTTCATTTTACTGGCTTGGAATGTCCAGAGTGATCCAGGTTGATATGATAACGTCCAGAAGAAAGAAAACGGCAAATATAGTACGCAAATTTTAACCATAGCTCTTATATCATCCACTAATTGAGCTCCGTACTTTTCGATTGAATAATCGAGCAGATTTTTACGTGGTTTTGTTTTTCTTTCAAGCTGTTTGGTGACTATTGCATGCTGTAAGAAAAGATTTATTTGACATTTTAAAATTAGCGTCCAAGTATGCGGGTACCGGTCAGTACTTACCCATGTGCATTTTAACATTTTCAGCAACATATTATCGGATGATGTTTTAACACAGGTGTAAGATGATCTACCACTTACGAAGAAAACTGAAAGTTCCATAAAAAAATATTTTTTTTTGTTAATTTTTGTGTTGGCTAAATTTGAGATGAAAACTTACGGATAGCTAAGATCATTAGTAGTGCAGGTACTCCAAACGCAAGTGAATAGCAATCATTTTCGTTGAAACAATGTACGTCTGCTCTTAGAACTGGTGTGATTAAAGTTGAGATGAATGAACCCGCATTGAATACAAAGTAAAACAGAGAGAAATATGTGGCCATTTGTGTACTTTGCTCCGGCAATTTAAACTGATCTCCACCAAACGCCGACACACACGGCTTTATTCCTCCACCTCCGAATGCGATCAAAGTCAATCCGATGTAAAGCGCCATTTTTGGTGATATCACAATGCCTGGGACTGCTGATATTGAAACTATTATGCTTCCGGCGGCGTATAAAATTGACAAATATAAAATGGTTCTGAATTTCCCCAGCCAAACGTCAGATAAGACAGCACCCAAAATACACGTTAAATACATTAACATTACAAACGTATGAAACAATACTGCGGCGTCACTTTCCGTAAAATCAAGTTTGTATTTCATATAAAATACCAATATTGCTACCAAAAATTAAATAGTTTCATTATTATTTGTTTTTTTTAAATGAAAATTGGCTTGTGCATACCTCTCATTCCATAGAAATTGAATCGCTCACAAAATTCATTACCAATTATAAGAAATATTCGTTTTGGATACGTCAACTTTTGTGGTTCAGCACTTTCGACATCTAAGAGGCTTCTTGTTACATTATCTCGACTATTTTTCTCTAAAAAAATTATTATTATTATTTAATGGGGTCTTACAGGAAATTCCGGCACTGGATTAATCATCTTCTCACCGTTGACAGTCTGCTCATTAGAGTGACACATTTTTAATAAAATTGATGGCAAACTTCGTTTTGCACTCTTTTAACTTCTTTACACGTCTGATTATTTCGTTCAAAATCTTGAGGAATTTTATATTTCGATGAACTTTGCACAGAACGTTTCTTCTCAATGCGATCTTATTTGAAAATAGAGTTAGAATAGCCGACAGACATTTGACATTATCTAATTTTGAATGTTTTGACTATAATCGATCAATTTGAATGGCCAAAGGTAAATGAAGAAGAAATACACGTTTGAGCGATCACAGGCAGTTTACTGCAGACAAGAGGGGATAAATGAAAGCGAGAACTAGCAAATTTACACTCAATAACTAACGCAACTAAGCGCGTAGCGTATATTCGCCTTTTTAGTGGTTGTAGACTATAACGCAGCAAAAAACGCACGTCAAAACATTTTTGACTTGATTACTTTTCATTCACAAAAAATCTAAATTAATGTAGATCATCAGACAGATTACATCAATTTAATAGCGAATCTATATTATTAGATATCTGTGTAAAGTTGTTTCCAAGTCCCCATCTGTATGGTAGATCCGTTCATTTCGAAGAATTTCTGTGGTTTAACCACTTTTGAGTATGAATTAAGTCCAATGCTAATCTAAATTCAAAATCATGCATAGAAGCATAGACAAGACAAAATGTTATTTTTACATAATTTTTGAATTGAAATTCCATTTTGTCTTGTTTGAAATCGAATGTACACAACACAATGTGAATGAAGACAAAATATAAACAAGTTTCGGTTAATTTAACATACACTCTAATCCATATGAGGGAGACAAATTTCTTTAAATGGTTTCATAAATAATAATATTTCTTGGTGAAAATAAAAAAGAAAGATGCTCTTGATTTGTGATTGCAATAATTGTTCTACAAGAAAAAGTGCACACTTCTCGGGGGAAAATTGTAGTATTATCATTTATTGATTTTTTTTTAAGAGACCAAGATATTGATTATTTCATGATTAGATTAAAGATATAAAGAGTTTATGTTTGTTTCGGATTTCATGTTTTTTGCTTTTCAATTTTCATCAAATTCGGTAGAAGTCCAATTTACAGATCAAACCTCTGCTCACGTTTCGATCTCGCTCCAAGAATGAATCATGATGAAATTGCACTTTGAAATCGGAGTCCATTTGAACTTCAGACTTCATCAAAACGCCACTTGCAAAATTTTTTGGTGGATTTAGCTTCAAGCGAATTTCGTACATGCATGATGGTTTAATAAGAATTGGATTAAGCAACGGTACTTTCCCTTTTTTTGAATCTACATATGCATTTCCTTTGAACAAAATGATCTCTTCGTCGCTGGATGCATTCGCTAGATTTGACATTGTAGTAACGATCGTAATTTCCACCAATAGCTTCTCTTCTAAATAATAATATTTGCCATTATCATGTTCGTGTAAACTGGGGCATGTGAATCCATTTAGAAAAGCCGCTTCATTGATCGAGAATGTGGTTGTTTCCAAGTTTTTGATGAAATATGGTACGACAGCTAAATACAATGAGAGGTATCGATTGCATTCAACGTTAACCTTGTCTTTCCACGGAACCATCTCACAACGCTTTTCTCGCTTTCCATTAAACATCTTTGATTGGAAATTTTTGTCCGGAATCATCTGAATGATCTCCTGTTGTTCATCGAATGAAAATGTTTTACCATACGATGGAATAAGACTGACAAATTCGTTGAATGTAATCGTTCCAAATCGAAATTCGTGAAAAGATTCGCCGAGATACGATTGTACAATGCTCTTTGTCAAATCTTCAGTTTTGCTGGCTGTTTTAACCCACGACATAACGGCTTCGAATAGTTCGATTTCAGAGCACGATAGCCAATCGAGTTTCAAAATGGCATCCATTGTTTTCTTGTCACATGTTTGGAAGCTGGCTGACTTCAATACTGCCTTTGTTTCGGCGCCGATTATGTCTTCACACGTGCTCTTGAGGCCTGGTCGATCGAGTAGAATACCCAAACCGTAGTATTCACAAACGTTGTCTTCGTTGAGGTATCTTTTCATAAATTTCTCACACACCGTCATACATGTGCCCATGTCGTACATATTTCCAAGATTCATGACTTTGCTCACATTTTCCTTTGTCAATTGCACACGATCCAAGTAGAAAAATTGGAGAAATTCCTTGAAAACTGTGATTGACACGTCCCCAATTTGCACCTCATTCTTCTCCTTCCACGACCCGTTGAACATTGTGGCAAATACATTGCTGGCAGCGGCCAACAAAGTTTTGTGCGCTGGAACTCGAACAATCGGCTCGTTTTTGGGCTTGAATACAAAGTGCACATCGGCCAGTTCAGTGGTCAAATACAGTTTTTTTCCGATGAATGCAAAAATATCATTTGGATCGTCGCTTGGTGATGACATGTCGTGTTTTGTTGTTTTTGCTGTACTGAAAATTGAGGTTTGGATTTAGTGGAAGATGGTCGTTCTCGCATAATTGAAGAAGCGAACAATTACCTTGACCGGTTGACTATTTCAAGTGGAACAATCTGCTCGAATTTTAGCTTTTTCGCACACAAAATGACAATGGGGATATTGTATCAATTGAATTAAATGATTTTTAATGGTAGCTAATAGCTATAGCTGTTGTGTTGAGTTATATCGAAGCGAGGTCTGTGATTGATGATGATGCTTTGCGAAGCGCACAATTCCAGTGACCGGTTCGCGCATATTTCTATGCCTGATAGCTATGCTAAGCATAGCGGAGACGTAAGCCGCAACGCACCCGTCGCCATTCGATTCGAGCTATATTGTATGCGCACGGTCGTCTGCATAAACGAACATGTGTATTGTTCATATAGAGTGAACGGCGATGCGTCGGTTGCGTTTGCGGCTATGCTTGGCATATCTATGCTACCTAGCGTATTTAGGCAAGCATAGAAATATGCGCGAACCGGTCACTGCACAATTCTATTAACCAATCTTTCGGTAGCTGTCAATTGTGTAAATGTCACCAACTGGAATAATGGAGCGAAATCTTTGAAATCGCCGTCTTGATTTCGATGCAGTGCTACTGCTTTAGCAGAAGTAATTTTAATTAAAAAAAATTTGTTGAATATTAAGATTGAAAAATAAAGGATTTCAAATAATTTCACGATTTATTACATTATTTCAATCAACTTAATTTGTTCAAAAACAAATCAAGAATATTTACGCTTGAAGGTAATCCAATTCGCAGGCAATTGATGGCAATCAACTTCACTTCAGAATCGCTACCAACGCAGACGACGCAAAAAACGTATTTTGCACAATGGCCGTAGATTATGATGACTCATTGCAGACAGGGGAAATCGATCAGTCACAAGCAAGCAGCAATTGTAGGGAGAAGTATGTTTTTTGCAGAGCATAATCTGACAAACGGATTCATTATTTCAAAGGTGAGTTTTATTCGTTTATATTTGCACTTTTTACAATGTTCATTCCAAAAAAGAGTTTAACCAATTGACTTCAATAAAATTAATAAAATTAGATAAATTGAATGTTTTGGTGACACTCGACAATTTTGCTAGCGCTACATTTGGGTATTTGGTATTTTTGGAGAGGTTATGTTACATTTTTTATGCAAACCATAGGCCGTGAGTCATGGCACGCAATAAAATACAAAACATTTGTTGGGTTTTGGGATTGATGATATTTGGTCTCATTCTTCTTTGCATGTTTCTAATCGAACTTAATCCAGATTTTTCTTAAAAAATTCCTTTCCATCGAAAGTATATGCATTTCATGTTGCTTAAAAGCTTAAATGAGTTTGTTTTATTTTCTCTTCCTCGCGTAGTTGGTCAAATCACAATGAATCCGTATTCAGTCAAAGGAACATTGGGGGGAAAGTGCAAGCATGCAGCATCGAAGGCTACAGCGAGTCAAGTACAAAATACGATCTTAATAACGCGAAGAAAGAAATCAAAAGTGAAGATGAAGAATGCTTGAAGAGGAGTTGCTGCTCATCGACACCAGATGATGGTTCAAATCAACACAAAGGCGATAATAGATGTGGTGATCGTCGACATGGCGCAGTACAAAAAACACACAATAACCAAGGGCAACGTGGACAGAAATCAAAATCAAAGAAGCGGATTGGAGGAGAGAAGCCCAAGAATCACAAATGTCATCTGTGTAGTTATGCTACATCACACAAAGGAACTCTCACTTCACACCTCCGAATCCATACCGGCGAAAAGCCTTTCGTATGTGAAATATGTGCAAAGGCTTTTAC